TTTTTCCCCTACAAGATATTGATGTGTGTCAGTATACGTAAGGGGGTTAGCGAACAGCAATCCTGACTGTCCTACATGTACTCCGTCCAGACTTCCCACACGGCCTATCCTCCGGCAGCCACAGGACCTGTTCGCTGGAACGACAGCTGGCATCTACTCGAGAGTATTCTCCCCTACTCTCCCCCACCCCTATCAACTGGCCATTTGAAGAGCGCATCCAACAACACAGAGATGGGGGAGTCTCGAGCACAATCGACAGCAACAGAACGCACTGGCCTCCAGCTGCATCCGCGACGACCCGATCCGCATTCGTGCATCGATCGAGTTTTTACCCGACAACAACAAACTAAATCATTGGTGACATGCAGTAGACGAGTCGGTGCGGACATGCGTTTTTGAGCTATTTCGCGCTTTGGCAAGATCGCAAGGAACCACAGTAGCTAGAATTTGTGAAATACTGGCCTTCGAAGTTCAAAAAGTTAATTGTGCAGCTATACGATGTACTAGTTGTAGATGTCGGCTTCAGTGACCCGACAAACGGAAAGCTGCTGGTACGCGAAAAAGACCCCACGAGAACTGGATTTGAAATCTTTCAGCTGTGCATGAGTAGGGGAAATTCCTTTAAAATTCCAATTTCTAGCTTTTCTCGTTCCCGAGTTAGCAATTTTTCCGCCAAAACTTCCGCGTTTCCGTACGTGAGACGTAGGCGTGCGTGACAGCTGATATCATGTTCCTGGGGTCGCACTTGGCCAGGAGACACACAGGCAAAATTAGAGCTTGCGTGTTTGCTGAGTAAAAAGACCCGGATATAAGAACACACACACACAGAGTCGTCGCAGTATGCATTTTTGCTGTTTTTATTGCAACGCTCTAGCGTTGCACGGCAAAAACGCATAAAAACGTGATGTCGTATTTGTATGTCTTTTTGCTCCGCTGTGGACGGCTGAGGAAGCAGCAAAAACAAGTTTTACTATTTTTCATTGCCTCGTGCAATACATGCCCCTTCATCACGCCTAACAGCATTAC